CAAGCGGGGGGAGTCCACCGAAACCACTCCCTGGCGGCCTCAAGGAGGCGCTCGGCGAGAGGCGCGCAGCTGCTAAACAGGCCGCTGCACGCGTGCACCGCGGGCATTAGAGCCCTCTGGAGGCCAGCCTGCGCTTGAGCTCCTCGAGAAGCTCAGCCTCCTGGCCACGGTCGTAGTCCGAGGAAATCCGCAGCAACGCCATCGAAGCCAGCAGGAGCCGCTCGCGCTCCGACTCGGGTCGCCCTGGCCCTGGATGGGCCGAGCCGCCAGCTGCCGCCCTCCCAGCACCGCCGCCGCGACGGGGAAGTGCGAGGTCGGCCCAGCTGTCGTCCGCCAGCCTCATCGGATCCTCACGAGCATCAGCAGGAGGGAGGCCAGCATCAGCGTCAGAAAGGTCGGCACCAGGCCCAGGGCGGGGGCGGGCACGCTGCCTCGCCGTCCCGCGGCCGTCGCCAACTGCCGGCACAGCTGTCGCTACGAAACCACCTGCACCTCCAGCCTCCGCAATCGTGCTCTGGGCCGCCGCCCCCACGACGGCGGAGCCCGCTGCACCAACGGCACGCTTGCCACGTCCGCGCCGCCGCCGCCGCCTCCGAGGCGCTGCGCCAAGGGCGGGCGCGGCAGGCGCCGCAGGGGCGCCGCGCATCGCGGCCACCGCAGCGCGCAGGAGGCCTTCGGTCGCGCGGAGAAGGCGCAACCCCTCGGGGGGGCCTCCCGCGGCCAGGCCCGAAACCGCGTGGGCCGCGAGGAGTGCGCCGCGCGCAGCTTCCTCGGCCCGGCGGCAGTTCTCCGGCGTGAGCTAACCCGGCATCGGTCCGCGCGGCGGGCGGCGCGCGGCGCGGCAGTCCTGCGCACGGCGAACCTCATCCAGAACAGTTCTTGCCACTGGGGCCTTCGGTGGAGCCCCCTATGGGGCCACGAAACGCTGTGCTGGGTGGTGGCTGACGCATGCGGGCGGTCCTACTCGGACCTTCGGTGGGGGGGCCACGAAGCGCTGTGCTGGGTGGTGGCTGACGCATGCCGGCGGTGCCACTGGAGCCTTCGGTGGAGCCCCTTTATGGGGCCACGAAGCGCTGTGCTGGGTGGTGGCTGACGCATGAGGGCGGTCCCACTGGGACCTTCGGTGGAGCTCACATGGGGCCACGACGCGCTGTGCTGGGTGATGACTGACGCGTGCGGACGGTGCCACTGGGACCTTCGGTGGAGCCCCCTTATGGGGCCACGAAACGCTGTGCTGGGTGGTGGCTGACGCATGCGGGCGGTGCCAATGGGGCATTCGGTGGAGCTCCCTCATGGGGCCACGAAGCGCTGTGCTGGGTGATGACTGACGCATGCGGGCGGTGCCACTGGAGCCTTCGGTGGAGCCCCTTTATGGGGCCACGAAGCGCTGTGCTGGGTTGTGGCTGACGCATGCCGGCGGTGCCACTGGGGCCTCCGGTGGAGGCAGCTATGGGGCCACGACGCGCTGTGCTGGGTGGCTGACGCATGCGGGCGGTCCCACTGGGGCCTTCGGTGGAGATCCCTCTGGGGCCACGAAACGTGTGAGGGGTGTGTGTGTGTGTGCGTGTGTGTGTGTGCGTACCAGAGTTAGGGGGTGACAGGAGGAGGGAGGAGGGGGGGAGGAGGAGAGGAGGAGGAACGCGCGGACCGTCTCTTCAAAACGAGGACCCAACACCACAGGAGGGTTGGGAACAAAACTAACGCAACTGCCCAAAACTGTCGCAGCTGCCACCAATGCAGCTGCCAGCTCAAGAACGATGCGCGCTCAGTGCCAGGGCGACCGCATCCAACAGAAGGCGATGAGAAAAGGTTGAGCAGAAACCGAGGAAGAGACCAAGAATGAGGGGCAACGGTAAAGGGGGGGACTGGCTCAGGGGGACAGCACCGAGCTGGGATCGGCGATACAACGCCGATAGATCGACGATGTGCCCCCGATTATGAATCCGAACGTTCATGGGCGGGCCGGAGCTATTGAGCACCATATCGGCGACGAATGGGCGATTGGGGTTCGATGCATCCCCCCCCGAGCCTATCACCCCCGAACATCACCTCTGAAGGAAAGGGTAGCGAGGAAGGCGAGGACGAGAGGGGCCTTCGGGGACGTGACATCGTCGACGCCGCCGCCACCGTCGCTTCCGTCGACTCGTCGCCGACGTCGTGGAACTTGGGGGAGATGATAGGCGTAACGATCTCCAATCATCATCATAATCACTATCTATCGTCAGCATCAGCATGATCACCATCACAACGACCACCATCACCATGACAATCAATATGATCACTATCACCATCATCATCCTCATCATCCTCATCATCCTCATCATCCTCATCATCATCATCCTCATCCTCATCATCATGATGATCATCCTCATCATCATCATCATCATCATCACCATGATCATGATCATCATGATCATCATCATCATCATCATCATCATCATCACCATCATCATCCTCATCATCCTCATCATCCTCATCATCCTCATCATCATCCTCATCCTCATCATCATGATGATCATCCTCATCATCATCATCATCATCATCATCATGATCATGATGATCATGATCATCATGATCATCATGATCATCATCATCATCATCATCATCATCATCGCCATCGTCGTCGATGCGCGCAACGGTCGCCCGCGTTGTCTCCCGCGCGCATCACCGGCGGACGTGCTGGGAAAGCACGTAACGCTGTTCAGGGCAATATCAGCGCGATTGCCCCGACCATCCGAGCGCTCACACCTCGACGTAGTACCACAGTGATTAGGTGCAGCGCCTGGGCGCATGCTCATCTGGCTGCGGGCATGCCGGCATCTTACCCCTAACACTGTAGCAATATGTACGATCAGAGTCAACATTTACAATCGTCACCGTGCCCCCTGGCACGTTGAGGCGTGGAAGAATACCAAGGTCTGCCTGGCAGGGCTTTTGAATTCTAATGAGGGACCGCACCTCCCTCTACTAGCAGACTCCTGCGTGCATCGCCTCTTCTTTCCGAGGCCACTTCTCTCGTGCCCGCTCGTGGGTGGTGCACGTCCAGCATGGCGGCGAATGCCTGAACCCCCATTACGCGCGTGCCCGCTCGTGGACGGTGCACTTCCCGCATGGCAGCTAATGCCTGAACCCTCATTCCATGCGCGCCCGGATTGTGCACTTCACGCATGGCTGCTAACTCCTAGACCCCTCATCCCACGCGCATCCGCTCGAGGATCGTGCATTTCCCGCATTCCCAGGCGCTGCTTCTACCAGGCCACGATCCTTCGTTAAAAACGACGGATGTGCGCCCCGAGCTTCCAAGACGGCCAGCGCAGGCAACCAAAGACACCAATATGGCCCAAGATGCCTCGAACACGGCCCAAGATGGTCCCAAGGCGGCCGAATACTGTCCCAAGACGGCCCAACATGCCCCCAAGAGGACCCCAAATGGCCACATGAGGACTTCCAGCAAGGTCTGGAAAGCCCACATCACTGATTCCCGTGATATTGGATTAACATAGCACTTTCGCCTGTTCGGGCTGCCGTCAGCTCAAGCCCAAGAGGACTCCATGATGGCCCAAGGCATACAAGACGGCCCCAAGACGGCCCAGAGGGCTTCCCCTGGGACCCAAAACGTCCTTAGAAGACCCTTCGACGGCCCAGGACGGCGCCAAGACGTCCCCACGGCGGCCCCAGATACCCACCACTTGGCGAAAGGGCCCCCAACCGACCCAAGAGAACCCCACGCAGGCGTCCAAGGCCCCCAAGACGACCCAAGAGGGACCCAAGAGACCCCCAAGACTGCCTCACAGGAGACCAAGAGAGCCCCGAGACGGCCCGAACGAGTTTCATCCTCCTCCTCCTTCTCCTCCTCCTCCTCCTCATCATCCTCATCACTACCATCAACACTATCATCATCGCCACCATCGGCAGCAGTATCAGCATCAGCATCATCATCAACGGCATCATCACCGCAACCACCATCACCATCATCATCAACATCATCATCACCACCATCACCATTATCGTCATCATCATCACCATCACCATCACCATCATCATCATCGTTGTCATCATCATCATCGTCATCGTCATCGTCATCATCAGCATCACCAGCACCATCATCACCACCACCACCATCATCATCCTCATCACCATCATCACCATTACCATCACCATCACCATCATCATCATCAGCCTCATCATCACCACCATCATCATCAGTACCAGCATGATCACCATCACCATCACCACCACGACCATCACTATCCTCCTCTTCCTCCTGCTCCTCCTCATCACTATCATATTCATCCTCATCTTCATCCTCATCATCGTCAGCGACATGATCATCACCACCACCATCACCATGATCATCACCACGCTCATCATCATCATCATCATCATCATCATCACCATCACCACCATCATCAGCATCATCCTCATCCTCATCCTCATCATCGTCCTCGGTATCATCCTTCTCCTCATCCTCATCCTCAACATCCTCATCCTCCTCCCATATTTATCATCATCAGCATCAGCATCAGCATCAGCATCATCATCATCATCATCATCATCATCATAAGCATCAGTATCATAATCATCATCATAAACATCATCAGTATCACCATAACCATTACCATCACAAGCACCACCACCACCATCACCATTATCATCACCATCACCAACATCAGCATAATCATAGTCATCAGCAGCAGCATCATCGTCATCGTCATCGTCATCGTCATAATCGTCATCGTCATCATCATCATCATCATCATCATCATCCTCATCATCATCACCATTAACAGTATTATTGTTATTACATCCAGTATCGTCATACACGCGATTATCCTCACTACGGCTCTCCCAAGCCTGGAGACACGAGGTGTCACACGTGACGGCTCCCCGTTCCCCCTCGAACAGTCACCATCCCTAGTGCTGGGCTGGCACGGTGGCGGGACTTGCCGCAGGCAGCTGGATATATTAAAATGACAGACCCGTCGGCTGCAGCAGAGATGGGACTCGTTTGTCAGGAAAGCGCCTGCTTTGCCTGATGACCTACAAAGAGAAATACCAGAATCAACTCAAAATCTCTTAACGATGCAACAGTACACTCTCCCGTCCCAAATCGTCCCCTCATAGGACCTTGCCAACATTCTTGTTCACTGCGGCATGCGCCCCCCGGAAAGACCGTGCCCCGTGGGCCATCACCCGGGCGACTCCATCGTAGGACCCATGGGGGACCATTCGGAAGGAAAGAACTTCCGGGGCGCGCCGAGGAACCCAGGGGGGTCCAGTTTCCCCGGAGGAAGAAAAAAAGCATCCCTGGCGAGGGGTTCCGCAAGGGGGCTACCCCTGCCTAACATTAAGAGGAATGAGCTCTCAGCCGCGGGAGTGCTGGCGCTCGGGGTCCCACCCCCCCAGCGCAACCACAGGAGGAAAAAGCGCGAGACCGCAGATTGCAAATGCAATGCGGCAACACTCGAGTCGTAGTTTTGCTGGGGAATTGTACTAGTACTACTTAGACCCCACTGGTGCACTCCAATAATGATACGAACTGTGATGTGCTATTCGTTGCACTCTGATACTCCTTGAACTGCAGCACCAAGTGCACTCTGGGAGCAGCTGCGCGCTAGTACATGATAATACCAGTCGTGTTCAGGTACTCGGTGCAATCTAGACGGACGGGTTCAGGGGTTCCAGTGGCAACGCGCGCATGCGAGAAAAAAACGCATGCGCCACCAAAGGTCCTGGGCTCAACGGGTCGCCGAGAAGGTGGACCCCCCGCGGACGGAAGAAAAGAAATCCGGACGGGGGGGTGGGGGGTTCCAGCATGAGTCGCGGGGCCGATCGTGGGCCCGCACTTTTAGACGGGAGCTCCCTTCTGAAAAAGAGAACTGTCCTCCGAGCTGTAAGAACTGTGGCACTCCGCGTACAGCTGCTACGCAAGCTCAGAGTCCTGGTCAGAGGTTCTGCAGAAACTCTCGAGCGGGAGCCCCATTTTGAAGAAGGACCGCCCTCCATCCATATAGCTGTTGCACACCTATACAATTCGAGTCGTGATATGCCCGAATATATCTCAAACGAAGACCCCATGTTGAAAACAAAAACGTCCTCCATCCGTGTAGCTGCTGGATTTGTATGGCGAATACACCATTTCGAAAACGGCCCGCCCTCTGTAGCTGTTTGAATTCTTTAGGGCCCGCATTCGTGGCGTCACGGCGTGAACCCCATTGTGAAAACCCCCCGCGCCCCGTCCGTGAAACTGCTTATTTTTTGAATGAAGGCAAATGTGCTCAAAGCCACGGCAAGAACCCCAGACTGAAAACGATTCACTCTCCATGTTGGCAGCTGCGAACTTCAAGACCGTACAAGTGACGACGCGTCTGGTGGTGCGGCACAGAGGAGTTTCTTGTCAGGAGAAGGGACGAGGGGACCAGGAGGGAGGCGAGATCAAGGAGACCCCTGAAGATCTCGGGGGGTCTCCAGAGGTCACCGGAGGCCCAAAAGGGGCCTCCGTCTCGTCGCGCAAGCCGCGCTTAGCATCGCAGGCCTTGCCCGCCAGGCAAAAACTGCTGCTGCTGCTGTTGCTGCTGCTGTTGCTGCTGCTGTTGCTGCTCCTCCTCCTCCTCCTCCTTCTCCTCCTTTTTCTCATTCTCCTTCTCCTTTTCCTCCTCTTTCTCCTCCTCTTTCTCTTTCTCGTTTACAAAATTCCCTTAGGGGGTCATCCGTTAAAGTTGGAACGGTGCAGTGATTGTTTGCATGGCCCCTGCGCAATAATGCCACGCACACATCGAGACGTATATGGCAGATGATCCTGCGTGCGTTGGGTCCGTGGGCCGAGCTACCAGGACTGCTCGGGAAGCTTGTTTGCCTCAAACTCTGCGGTTTGACTGGACGATTTCGTGTGCGGATCTCCGTGGTACTTGGGAGTCGGCGTTCCAAGAAGACCGCAGGGGCATTTGGAGGCGGGTGTCAGGGCCCATGATGGCCAACACGCCGGTATCCAGGATAGGTTGCCCGATGTCTTCCTTGACCGAGATGGTTGACGACTTCGGAGTGCAGAGTTCGTTGACGCTTACCTCCCCGAGGTTATTCGGAGATTGCTCAGCCAGGCCGTCTAGAGAGGTTTCGAGGGGCGCGGCTACCACGGAGGGCATGCCAGGCAGAGGATGTTCCGACATCGTGAGAGCAGCTTCGTTTCGAAGCTAGATTCGCCTGTGGAGAGGGCCACTATTCGCAACGTGGCTACCAGTGCTGCGTGGACGAAGCCGAGGGCGAGCTAACTCGGCTATCATTTGGAGTCTCTGCCTTCCCTCTTGTGCGAGGTCTGCGGACAGCGTGATGCACCGAATCTGGGTTTGCAGTGCGTGTCAACGTGAGCGCAACGAGGTTCTGGGCCCCAAGTTAGGCTACCTTGTCCAGGAAGCTCAAGAGGCGGAGTCCAAAGAGGAGGTGTTGACGTTCACTCGTGGGCTTCCCAAGGCGACGAGCACGTCTGGCAAGCTTCTGAGTGCGAAATACGCCAGCCCAAACCGTACGCATGCCTTGGAACAGGCCGATGAACTGCCAAGCGGCCGGGGCAGCGGCTGACGACAGCCGAATTCTGGGACGCGGGGTGGTGCACAATCGAAATGTATTGTAAGAACGGGCGCTAATTACTCAAGGGCCTTGGACGCCGAACTTGGAACTTTTTGGCCAGCGGACTGCAAAAAACCCGGAAAGGCTGGCCGGTAAAACCGCGAAGGACGGGCCGCAGAGGCAAGGACACAAAAGCCCCCTAAAGACATCAGTGTGTCCTTTGTTCGTATGGCTCATCCAGGACCCGCCTGGTGGGAGGTGGATGCCACAACCTGAAATTCGATGCATAAGCGGTGGGCAAGACTATGCCCGCACCGCGGCCATGCACAAGATGTCGTGTCTCCCGGAGGCGGCGTACAGTGACCGTGCCACGGGGCCAGCGCCCGACGCGACTCGAATGACTCCGCCGAGGAAGCGAGGGAACCACGACTAATTAGAGGAAAATGCGGCTACGGTGGAGGGGGACAATTCGTGAACACCCCCCCTGCCCACCAACTCCAAGTTGGCACGCGCGGGGGAGGCTACGGTCAAGGTGCATCTCACCGCCTATTTTGAATATTGGGGGTGGGGGGATGGGGAGGCGTTGACAAATGAATGTAGCATGAGTGTTCGTTTTTTTTTCCGAAGCCTGTATCCCGAAACCGCGTGGGTGTCACCTCTTAAGGAATTGCCCGTGCGCGGGTGACACTTGGCCTTGAAATTTCTTGACACCGTGGAACGAAGGCTACTGGTCTCCCAGTCGACGGGGCCATTACAGTGGGCCATCGACGCCGGGGACTGGCGGGTGAATGCTGACCCCCCCGCAGTTCAAACAATAGACAGATGGGCCTTCGCTGACCATATGGTGTCCCCGAAGAAAATGAAAAAGTGGCTTTCGGATACTAGACACAGCGTCGGGCCCACTCGGGGCCGCGCTAGACACAGCTGGCCCCCCCCACTTCAGCAGCCCTGTCGCTTGCGACCGTCCACCCCTGATCGCCAACCGCGGCTCCCAGGACACGATCCGCCGCCGCGAGGGCGATCGAGATGGCCTCCGCGCGGGCTGCCGGCAGCGGCGCAGCAGAAGGAGCAGAGGCGGCGGAGTAGGGGAGGCGTGTACGAACGCACGCCATCATCATCATCTGCAGGGCTGAGGGCGCACACCCTGCGCGCTCCAGTCGCCTCCGCCCTGTCTCAGAGCTCGCCAAGGCCAGACAATGGCCGCAGTGCCAGCTCAACCCTCGCCGAACCAGCCGGTGGCGTTGCTGTGCGAGCTGTGCAGGTCCAGGAGGGGCAGCAGCTCGGGACCTGGGACCTTTTTTAGGGTGGCCTCGTGGATGTCACCCATGGTCGAGCCGACCACCGCCATCAGCCACGCTGAAAGCTTGGCCTGCCCTTGGCGCCCGTCATCTTGGCGCGGAAGACGTCGTGGATGGCTCGGGGCAGCGCGCGCAGCTGGGCCCCAACCTTCGCGAAAAAAGTCGCCCCGCGCATTGCCGTGGAAGTCGCCAGCGTGGCGCCTGCCGGCAGTCTGCAGGAAAAAGTCCACATCTTTCTGCGCTGGGCACCATGTCGCTCCAGGTCGCGGGAGGCCGTCCATCTGCTCGAACGCGCCGCGCCAGATGTCAGCATGCTGGCCCCGCGCGCTGGCCAGCTCAGGGCCCCAGCTGTCGATCTCGGCGGCCAGGGCCGACAAATCAGTGACAGCATGGGAGACGCACGACGTCGGGCGCAGCATCAGCAGGAAAGCCCGGCGCCCCGCGCGGCCGACGGCCTGGCGCCGCCCAGGCAGCGCGCCAAACACCGCCCTGACGGGCATGTCGTCGTCGTTCAACTGCACCGCGGCCCAACCGCAGCGGCAAAGCTCAGGCCGCGCGGCGTCGAAGCCCGACCCGTCGTGGTAGGCTACCGTGCTGCGTGAGTTGAGCGGCGACTTTCAATCGCCCCAGAAGCGCACCTCGGCCTCCAACGCTGCCGGCCTGACCAGCTGCGGGAGGAGCGGCAGGCCGACCACCAACTCGAAGCGGTCGTAGTCCTGGTGGGCATCGCCGACCCCAGCGCCATCCTTCATCCTGTCGCGTAGCTTGAGCAGCTTCTCAGGCAGCTCCTCCAACTCCCCTCCGCCCCCGTCGTCCTCTCGCATCAAAATGCGCGGGCACTCGTAGAACTGATGCCCCTCGGTGCACGGCGCACCGCCTGGGCAGAAAGGGCGGGCCGCAGACGCGAGGTAGCCCATGGCGGGCCTCCTGACCAGGTCCCAGGAGGCCCCAGCCCACAGTTCGCGCAGCTGCCCAGCCCGCGCGCCCTTCACCACGGCCTTGGGCGGAGCCAAGACCCTGCGCATAGCGCGGTGCCACGGCACACCTCATGGTGGCTGGGAATCTGCCAACCCTGCCACCATGCGAATACCCGTTCGCGGAGTCTGCAGCACCTGCAGAATCTCGCCCTCGTCGCCCCCAAGAGGCCCCAAGAGGCCCCCAAGAGGCTCCCCAGAGGCCCCCGAGAGGCCCCCAAGAGGCCCCAAGAGGCTC